GTGAAGTGCAGGAAGTTAGAAGGGTTTGGGATCATGGATTGCATGGAGTTGGAAGGGTTTGGGATCATGGATTGCATGGAGTTGGAAGGGTTCTCATGGGATCATGGATTGCATGGAGTTAGAAGGGTTTGGGATCATGGATTGCATGGAGTTGGAAGGGTTTTCATGGGATCATGGATTGCAGGGAGTTGGAAGGGTTTGGGATCATGGATTGCATGGAGTTAGAAGGGTTTGGGATCATGGATTGCATGGAGTTGGAAGGGTTCTCATGGGATTGTGGATTGTGGGGAGTTGGAAGTGTTTGGGAACATGGGGTGTGTGGAGTTGGAAGGGTTCTCTTCGGATGATGGAATGTGTGGGGATCATGGAGTGCAGGGAGTTGGAAAGGTTTTCATGGGATCATGGCATGCAGGGAGTTGGAAGGGTTTTGGATCATGGAATATGTAGGGGGTTGGAAGGGTTCCCATGGGATCATGAAGTGCAGGGAGTTGGAAGGTTCTCATGGGATCATGGAATGTGTGGGGAGTTGGAAGGGTTCTCATGGGATTATGGAACGTGGGGAGTTGGAAGGGTTCCCATGGGATCATAGAATGAGGGGAGTTGGAAGGGTTTGGGATCATGGAATGTGTGGGGAGCTGGAAAGGTTTGGGGTCATGGCGTGCAGGAAGTTAGAAGGGTTTGGGATCATGGATTACATGGACTTGGAAGGGTTTTCGTGGGATCATGGAGTGCAGGGAGTTGGAAGGGTTTGGGATCATGGCGTGCAGGGAGTTGGAAGAGGTTTGGATCATGGAATATGTAGGGAGTTGGAAGGGTTTGGGATCATGGAGTGCAGGGAGTTGGAAGGGTTTGGGATCATGGATTGCAGGGAGTTGGAAGGGTTTTCATGGGATTGTGGATTGTGGGGAGTTGGAAGTGTTTGGGAACATGGGGTGTGTGGAGTTGGAAGGGTTTGGGATCATGGAATGTGTGGGGATCATGGAGTGCAGGGAGTTGGAAGGGTTTGGGATCATGGAGTGTGGGGAGTTGGAAGGGTTCCCATGGGATCATAGAATGAGGGGAGCTGGAAGTGTTTGGGGTCATGGAGTGCCGGGAGTTGGAAAGGTTCTCATGGGATCATGGAATGTGTGGGGAGTTGGAAGGGTTTCCATGGGATTATGGAACGTGGGGAGTTGGAAGGGTTCCCATGGGAACCTATGATCCCATGGGATCATAGAATGAGGGGAGTTGGAAGGGTTTGGGATCATGGAATGTGTGGGGAGCTGGAAAGGTTTGGGGTCATGAAGTACAGGAAGTTGGAAGGGTTTGGGATCATGGATTGCATGGAGTTGGAAGGGTTTTCATGGGATCATGGAGTGCAGGGAGTTGGAAGGG